GGGTTTTTTTGTTTGTTTGTTTTTGTGTGGACACAGCAAGGACATCAATAGACTTGCCCTTCTCTCTCAATATTTTTAAATTACAATCCATTTACAAACCTGTGGCTAAATAATTATTTATATATTTTTAAATTCCTTTATTTTTTAGTATTTTTTTAAAAGTTTAATTTGTCAATTTTATATGCAAATTACAGGTTTCTTCTTAATAGTTGCCTCTACTCAAGTTTAGTACTGTTACTCTACCTCTTAATTCAGAACCAAGGCCACAGTCTGACCCATCTTAGTGGAAATCTAGGTGTATAATCAAACTGCCTACTACTATCAGTTACAGAAAGCAGCATGTCTTAGAAAACTTCCCTGTTTCTTGCTTGGAGCACAATAGAACCGTCCCTCAATAGATTTTATTTTTAGTTTCACCTCATCCATAAATAGACCTACAAACCATCATCCCAAAAAGTATTTAACTGATCTCTATGAGAACAGATAGAATACCTACTTAGCAATTCTGTACATTGTTTTCCTTTTAATCTTCAGCTCAACAAAACCCTTAGGCATATACTCAGCTAAAAAATAAACCTGAGCATTTGACTAACTTGTAACAAGTGTTATCACCATTCGCCTGTGAAGCACCCCTGTCTCTTCTGCATACAATTTATACAAGATTTTGCTGGTTTGGCAACATTTTATACAAGATTTTAGTTTTCCCCGCATAGTTACTTTAACAAAATTATTCCTTAAACTGTGTCAGTGCAGGAGTAACTCATCCATTTAAAGACTGACTTAGCCATTCCAGAACAGTTGTACAAGTCATACACTTAGGTGTTAAATGTGTAGATACATTTATAGATAGATACATTTACAGATGCTGTCTTCAATCAGACACCACTTCAACAGGCCCAGCACAACTCTCCATGGACCTTGCTGACGGAAGGAACAGAAGGCTGGAAGCAGCTTCAACATTAAAATAAACCTCCTGTTACTGTCCTACAGCTTCTTTTAACAGTGGTCTTGTTTGTTAATGTAAGTGTTACACAAACGCCCCCATCAAATCATTAAGAATCTTATTTACAGTACGCAGATCATTTCCTTCACTCTTTAAAAAAACCTGGTAAAGTGAATTTTTCTTGGATAAGTAATACTGCCAAAATTACTTTATCGACTCAGTGAACTTCCTTGCTTAGCAAAGGCCAGGTTCTGGTTCTGTTCCTGAGATTTTCAGCATCCCTGCTGGGGAGAACGTTCTTCCCCCTAAAGCTTCACAGATACTTTTCCTCAAATCAGCTAAGATCCATCTGTAAGTACTAACAGTAGAATTACAGAACTTCCAGATTACAGCCAACACTAAAGTTTTTCCACAGCACTTTTGCTCAAACACAATGTAAAGTAGACATTTATTAAATGTGCCTTCTGTCAGTGTTGCAGCCATTTTAAGAAATAACTCTCACTGTTCAATCACATGAATATAGAACCTTCATCTAAAATTTTTACTCAGTTTTGCCATTACAGCTGAGAATTTATTAAAACACATCCATAATCTATACAGGCACAGAAGCTGAACAGTTTTGTGAATGGTGACAGAGCACTTCTTTTGACTAATTGCAAGAGGAATTTTAGAGTGCACCAACTTTCCTGGGAGCACTGTTGGCCTGCACCAGATTCTAGATGTAGCTTATTCTGACATAAGCTTCTTTACAGAAAGTGGCTTGCAGTCTCTCTATATCTAACACAGCTCATGCATTCAATAATGCACTACAAAAATTCCCTTCTCCCTAAGCCAAAGTTTCTTTGCAGGTAAGAAGTAGCACAAGAATATTTACATTTCACTTATGAAGGTTGCAATGTTACAGAACAAACAAAAACCAGTTTGAAAGCATGTCTTCAAAGAAATCACCATATTTCAGCTTGTTGGCAGTTTTAGCAAGAAAGGAAAAAAACACAGCGGGGGGGAGGGGGGAAAGCTGAGTTTGAATTTCAGGTCTCTGGTCTAAGCTCACACACCACCACTTCAGCTCATTTTAAACTGAGCGGTGACATTTTATGACTTTTTGAAGGTGCAGAGTTTCAGCGTCTGCCACTTTTCAAGGTGAAATTACATATTTTAAAAATCTATGAAAGAACTCTAAATTTCTTCCCAATTTTTCTCCTAAATTAAAGTCTTGAATCCTTCCAAAGTTCCAGACAAAAATAGCAGTTGGCATGTCATGGAACATTATACTGTCACAGATTTCTGCACAGGTTGTTTAACTTTAATTGTTACTTTCATTTCTCATGGAGGCGGAGGAAGGAAAAAATATTTTTCCTTTTTGCTTCTTGCAAAGGAAACTCCAGAACAAGAAATGTGACTTTTTTAGTCAGTACTTTGTAAAAGTACTAGGTCTTAAAATCATTCAACACATCACAGAAAACTTTTGAGTCACATCTCCTAAAACACTGAAAGTGCATTTTCTGAAAGACTTAGTACATTTCAAATATTCACAGTTTAATAATCACTAGTGAGCCCAGTTATTGTACACTATGTACAAGTAATACCCACCCGTCTGCAGATACTTTATCGTTACAACAAATAAACATTCCCAGGACTCTCAATTTGATATAGACACTGGGGACAAACAAGGAATTAGCTTTTAATTTTTATAAATTGCATAAAGAATCTGAATGTGCCAACCCCTAAAAAAATATTAGCCTATCTTTGACAAAAATCCCCACCTAGACGTGAAGATTACACTAAACGTGTAAAGATGGTAAAAACTCTTTGCTGAAATCTGTATTAGTAAGAACCAAACTCACAATAGCTGAAACTAGAGTTGCTGGACTTAAGCAAAGACAAACCTATCCTGCTAGAACTAAATTACCTTCTCCAAACTCTTACATGCTTCTCATCAGAGAGAATAAGAATCTGAACTTCCAGCTTTAGAAATTTAAAAAACTTTTCTCTTGTTCAAATAAAATCAGTATGGTGCTTTGTAAGTTAGAAAGTATCTCGAGTAATGTACAAGTTTGTTGTCCCATTCCTGCCGCACATCTGTGCACGCATTGCTTTTCTTTCGTGTATGAATAACAATTTTGGATTCACCACGAAGACCTGGTAATGTTAAATACACGTGCATGATGCCACAACACACCGATTTCTTTATCCAACCACACATTTGTTGCTCACGGACGGCTCAGCCCAGTATTCTCCTTCGCACCTCCCCAGACACCCTAGCTTTAAACAGTGCTCCGTATCGCCGTGCTTGGCGACATGAGACCCAAAACCCCGGAATTTTCAGCTATTTATGAACTTTCTCCCGGCGCTCTGGAAGATCGGGATCGCACGGTGATCTCCACGATTAGGAAGTTCGCCGGAGCGGCCGCCAGACCGAGCTTCCCCCTGGCCCCTCCTGAGCTCTCTCCCTGAGCCTGGAGCGCCCCAAAGCCGAGGCGGGACCCCCAGCCCAGCCCCGCCGTCCCGCGGGCGCGGGCGGGCGGCCCGGGCGGGCTCAGCCCCGGCTTCCGGGAGCCCGGGCGGACCTGTCCCAGCTCCCGGGAGAGAGGGACGAGCTGAGTGCCGCGCTGCCCACGGCGGGCACACGGGTTTCGGGCACACGGGTTTCGGGCACACGGGTTTCGGGCTCGCACACGCACGCACACCTCCCTCTGCCCGCGCCGGGGCCACCGCCGCGTGCCGCCGGCTGGAGCGGAGAGCAGGGGAAGGGAATCGCCGGGTCTGCCCCCCGTCCTCCCTCCCGCCGCCCCCGCCCTTCGAAGGAGTGACGGCGAGCTCGCCCCCAGCCCGGGTGTGCGCCCCGCCGGGCGGGGATCGGAGCCGCCGGCCGGGCTGGACGGAGCCAACTTAGACAAAGGGCACTCCAGACTCCATGTCTCCCCCCTCCAGCTGTCACCGGCCGGGAGCCCGCGTGTCTGCCCGCCGGCGCCCCGCGGGAAGGGGACGCGGCTGCTCCCCGGGAGCCGCCGCCGCTGCCCCCATCCTCCCCTTCCTCCCTGCCGCCCCCTCCCCTCCTCTCCTCTCCTCCCCTCCCCCATGACAAAGGACCCGGGTATAAAAAACCGCTCCCGGCGCCGCCGCCGCCTCGAGCCCGCGAGGTGTCGCTCGCTCGCCCGCTCACTCACCCACCCCCCCGCCGCCCCGGCTCCGCGCCGCCGCCGCTCCCGCCGGTGCCGCCGCCAGCTCCGCTCGGCGCTCCCGCTCTGCCTCCCTCCGCCTCCGGCTGCCGGATTCACCCTCCCGGACCGAGCGCCAAACACGCCGGCCCAATCGCCATCGCGCTCATTGGCGAGCGCCGAGCGCCGCCTCCATTGGACGGGCGGCCGCGGCCGGGGCCGCGCCGGGCCAATCGGGCGCGGCGGGGGGCGGGGCGCGGGGCGCGGCCTCGCTCCCCACGTGCGGGGGGGGCAGGGAGGGGTGGGGAGAACTCTTTGTTCTCGCGCTGCCCGCGCGGGGGGACGGGGGGCTCGCGCTCCCCCCGCTCCCGCCGCCCCCCGCCCCTCGCGCGCCCGCCCCCCCCGCGCCGCGCGGCGGGGCCGGGCCCGGGGCAGCGCCGCGCCGGGGAGGCTCCAAACTCCGCGGCCGCCTCACGTGGAGAAGGGGCAGAGGGAGGGGAAAGGGGAGGGAGGCAGGCGAGAGGATTGGCGGGCACCGGGAGGGGCCGCGCTCCCGCTCCCGCTCGGCGCCGCTGCCGAGTTTGAATCGGCCCGAGAGCGGGAGAGGCGTAACGGCCGTAACGGTCCCGGGGGCGGGAATGTCCGAAGCGGCCCCTCCGTCCCCGCCGCCGCTCCGCCTGTTGCGCCCCCGGCGCGGCAGCTCAGCCGCGGGAGGTCACTCCGGCCTTTCTCCGTCTTCAGCAGGGAAAAATAAAATTACCAAGATAAGTTTTGCTAGCCGGTACTTAGCCCTTCCCTTGTGACCGCATCCCTTTCCGATGCGTCCCGCATCGAGTGCTACTTCCGAGACACACTGGAGCCGTACCCTTGCTTCCACAAGTGCCGTCGTCCTTCCTTACCAAATATCACCTCTCCTCTTCCTTGTGGCTACCTCAGCGCATCTTCAGGGGCAGAAGTGAGCAGCGGCCGCTGTGAGGGGATTCTGACTAAGAAAAGTCTCTCACGGAGGAAATAAATCACAAACGCGCCCACATCGCCAGATCATGCCGTGGGCTTGCGTGTCTCACAGACGTGACACGTAGGGAAAACGAGGATGTATCAGCCCTGGAGGCTGGGGACAGCCCACGCTGGCGGGGCAGCCCCGCCGCTCACGGCGGATGTCTCGGCCGGCTGAGTCACTTTGCAGCGCTGCCGCCTCGCGTCCGCCTCTGTGACCTTTGCTTGCCCAAACTCCACCGCCGCCAGCCCTCCTTTAGTGCATCGCGCCGGCAGCTTCCTCTCACTCGCTGCTCCGCATCCAGCGCGGTTTCCCTCTGTCGTGGGGGGATGTCATAAATTGCAGCAGCCGCAGCAAAGTGCTCTCTCCGCATCAGGCTCGCATCCCGTCGCTCGCTACGTGCTGTCTCCAGCCTCTAAGGCTGCTGCCGTTTTCCCTCGTTTCTAATCCACGAGCCGCGCTCATCAATCTTGTTGCCGAGGTTGTATTTAAACCTTGACGGTTCGTGCACCTTTACTCTGCCGTCGTCCTCCTCTCTGGTCGCTCCAGCCTTTACTCTGCTTCAGCAGCGAAAAATAAAATTGCCAAGATAAGTTTTCTAATGATACTCTTCACCACCCTTGTGACCAGATCCCTTCCCCATGCGTCCCACATCGAGTGCTACTTCCGATGTGCGCTGGAGCAATCGATACATCGTTGTTTCCGTCATCCTTCCTCACCAAATATCAGCTTCCCTCTAACTTGTGCTTCCTGGCGTTACCTTAGTGCTTCTACAGGGTCAAAGTTCAAAAAATGTCCAGTGGCCGCTGTAATGAGGTCCTAAGTGATAAAAAGCTCTTGCAGGGAAATAAATCACAAATGCACCTTCATCCCCAAATAATGCAGCTGGCTTATGTGCCAAGTGACACTTGGTGTTCTCCTACTTAAAGGCAATGTACTTGTGTGTTTTTACTGTCTCTTTCTATGTGAAAGTACTTAAAATTTCCTGACTTCATTGTGTATTAAACTTGGAGTGAGGTCTCAAGTGTGTGCATTCCCACTCTGTATGTTCTTGATTTACCTCATAGCCTTGAAAAGGTGTTTCTAATAGTATCTCTTTTTTTAATTTTTTTTTTTTTTAATCTCTGGGGTTTATTGAGTTACGAGCAAAAAACATGCAGCAGAAATTATTTCGTATTACAGTTACATGTTATATCATGCTAGATAGCTATAACCTTCCTCTAATTCTAGTGGAGTGGCTGACAATTGGGAAGATTGTCTTTAAAATATTACATTTGAAAAATATTAGTCATTTCTGGAGATTCAGCTATTCTACCCCAAGATGGCTGCCACCACCAAAATGGCTACCCAGTCTCTTCACAATTTAGGTTTTGTAATTTATTTTGATCCTTCAAGTTGCACTTCATGAGATCTGGTTTTGGTCAACAAGAAAAGTAACAATTACTAAATAAGGGTGAGGTAACTTAATGCAGCAGATACGCTTAGCCACAAGGTGGAAAGATCTGCATTATAGAACATACCCTGTGAACTAACCTCAGCACTGATCACATCCTTTTCCTCTCTTGTACAGAAGATTATTCATCTGCTATACCTGAAAGTGATGCTTACTAGAAAACTGTACATGTTTTGAACCGACTTACTCTTTCTTCTTTGCACTGTACAAAACAACCTCTACACCAAGGCTCCATTCTAGGCTCTTAAAACAATGAACTCCTGTCAAGAAATTCCATGAGGTGCTGATTTCCTGATCCGTAGTTCAGGCTGCCTCAAACATCCTGGAGAATTTTGGTAACAGTTTGATTCTCTACACAGGAGTTTAATGTTGCAACAAGCTCTGTACACACTTTCTGTTTTCACAGAATAAACCACCCAAATGGTTTTCTGGTTCTGTATTTTGCTGTATTTCTGTGATTAAAAAGCAACCATTTGAACAAGGATCTGTATTATGCAGAGACATTCAAGACTGGATTAAAGATTGGATCTTTAGGCAAAAATAGCACAACAATTTTTGAAATAATTACAAAACCTGGTATTTTGAGGAGCCTTTCTCAAAGGAGTGAATTCTGGTGGCAGCATGGTACAGTGCTTTTGAGAAAAGTGGCTAACATTGAAAAAATATACGCATGTCACATGACAATTAAATAAAATCAGGTTCAAGAAAAAAGTATCAGTTTTATACCCTTCTGGAACTGTTGAAAGCATTTGCCCTTTTTTTATAGCTAACACACTGTAGAAGAGCTTTTTCTATGTTTCCAGCGTATTAAGAATGTAATATGTGCATTCATGTTGCATGTATGACTATGTAGAATAAGGATTTGTCAGTGCTAGATCACCAGCATCAATTAGACATAAAAATAATTGTTTGACAGCATCAGGGTATGCTCCTAACTGTGATTGATTCCATGGGGGGATCCTTATGTGCTTCTTTTCACCCTTTTAAGGAGTGGTATTTGAGTTAAGGAAAAGAAGGTGCAAACAAAATTCTGCTGCAAAGCAAAATTAACAGTTAAGTGGTTTCTTTTAGATATTTTTTGTATCTGAAATGAGGTGTTATTTCTAAAGCATAGGATATTCTTTACGCACTATTTTCCCAAGATTTCCTTGTAGTTAAAATCATATGGTATTTCTTTCTGTCAGGCTGGCGGGACCAAGCCAGACCTGTCTGGGAACTACCTCGGCCTGGAATAAAGAGAGATGTTGGCCAGTTTTCCCCTTGCCCACCTGTTTTTTTTTTCAGGAGAGGCACAGCAAGGCTGCCCCCAGCACTGGCAGCCCGGAGCAGAGACGCCGGTAGCTGCATCTGTAATTCTTGTAGATAAGCTGGTGACTTGCTGATGGCAGCGTCGCTTTCCTTTGTGCTCCGGCATGGCAGCGTAACAAAGCTGTGTGCAGCTTTGGGCTGGCTCTCTCCGCGGCGCGGGCTGCTGGCTCCACGGATCGGTCACACAGCCTCGAGGGGGTCAGCCTGCTCGTGTTTGAGCTCCCGAGCTCGCTGCAGGGGAGGGAAGGAGGATGTAGGGGTAGGTGTAACCCTGTCCTGGTAACACGGACCCCTACGATCAAAGCCGGTAGCACTGCAAGCAGTATTTCATCCCGTAGAGCGTTTAGGAGCGTGATCTTTGTTTCTTGGTGTTTTCCTAACCCTGTACTTTTTCAGAGACCCTAGCTTGTAGTGTGTCTGAAATTCTGCATTTTGGTCCATGTGAATTTGATGAGATTTTACAAAATGTTTACATACGTAGAAATGTAACTACAGTCTAAAATATAAAGTAAATACAGTCTAAATCTGTAATAGCATTTATCTCTTATGCACGGCAATGAATACACAGAAATAAGAGTATAAAGGCATATCAGAGACCTTTTTAAAGTATTGGCCTCTTGTACCATTATAAAAAAAGCAGGGAATTTGTGTTAACTTTTAACAAGTAATTAATGACTATGTTTTGTAACTCGCCACTTTGAGATTAGTTATGTTTTAAAATGTTTTACATTAATATCTTACTGGTACATATGGACCAATTTCCCTGAAAGAAACGCAACCTTCTGAACGGTTTTGCACGTCCTTTCTGACCTCTTTTTTTTCCCCATTTGCCATATGCTTCTCTGCAGAATTGAATTTATTAATCAGAAAATAGGCCAACATTACTGTGGGTATGGTGCTCATTAGGCTAAATGAGGAGGAGACGAGTCATTGCAAGATATAACATACACAACAGTATCTGTCAGACCTGCCATGTCTCATGGTGCTTGAGGGTCCTGCACTGTCCTTCCTGGCTTCCCTCACTCTCAAAAGTAGGGTGCTGTGGCCTGAAGGCACAGGGCCTGGGGCCTGGAAAGGACAGCAGCACAGACCCACCGCCAAAGACGTGCCCCTGAAAGAAGCACCGCACTGCTCTAAGGGTGCCTGCTAGCAGAACTTACTCCTGCTGTGGACTCTTTGCCTGCTGTGTAACTAAAGGAGTGGCTGCCAATTTACTTGATGCATTTTTCACAAGAGCCACTACCTGGAAACTCACCCAGCTAAAGGAGAAGTTCTCAGTGCTAAGCATGTTTGGTGGCAAGTGTGGGCATATTGTCTAACAATGACAATTAAACAGACTGCATGCATGGAAAAAAAGGTGTAACAGGGAGTAGGTTGCTAAACATAGCTGGGATTTGATGCAGTGCTGTTACAGGAAAATGCACAGATTTCTGTGCCATTTATGGGCTGCCTGCATCTGATGCTGTGAATGGTAATGCATGCAGCTGGTCCCTAGCTCTGCAAATACATCAGTGGCACACACACACCCCTCACACGTATCCCCAAGTAGCAGAAAGCTACGTCCTTTCACTGAGTATTTGCCTCATGTGTCACGATAAAGGTATGTCATATATTTTTTTACTGGGTATTTACTAGTGTTTTCACCATGCTGTGCCACCTCAGCTCTCTCATGCTGTGTTGAAGGTTTTACAGAGGCTGCAAGACAAATAAAGGTGGGAGCAAGAGTGATGCAAACAGCTGACACAAACTACGGTTCTGTATTAAATGCAGGAAAGTATCATTTTGGCTAAAGAGAAATGTTGCTGAAAGGAAAGCTCCGGTGTTGTTTTTATGCAACAACTTAAGCAGCGTAAGTGATTTCCTGTTAACTTTTTTAACATGCAGAGATGAAGCTTATTGCATGTGATCATCCATTTCAATTTTTGAAAGGGGTTAATTGACTTCCCCTGCCTTCAACTGGAAATGAACTTGTCTTTAAGTCTATCTATAGGAAATTCTTTCACCTCAAATAATCTACTTCTGATTATTTTGTGGTTACAGAAGCTGCTTAAGTAAGTTGTGTGAGAAAAACACTTTCTCTTCCTTTTCTGCTTACATTTTGCTTTTCTTTTTATTCCTTACCTGACCTGCATTTATGCTTATATTCAAACCATTCAAAGGTCTAAATGGTATAATAGCACAAAATTGCCGTGAAGACATATGCCTGAGAACTTAAATTGCAAAGCCCTGGCCCCATTTCCAGGTGGTTTTGGCAGTATAGCTGTATGATGCTGCTGAGTGTACCACTCACAGGGGAGAATTTTGCTGCAAATTTAAAGGTTCAAGTGGGTATTAAATAAGTGTTGATGGATGATGGTCTCCCATCAGGCCAAATCCGAGATTAAAAGCCTGAGCTCTATTTGAATATTTTGTTTCTGATATGTTGAAGTTCTCCAGAGGCAGTGGCTAAATTACCCTAGCAGATGGACAGGGTTCACTGACTAGAATCAAATCTTCATGTCTGGCTGCAGAATGTACTTCTTCCGACAGCCATGTGCAACATACATGTAGGGATGAGTCAGACTGTTTGCAAAAGCAAATGCAGTTGTGAAATCATTTACCCCTCCTCATTTTCTCTTTGATATTTATGTCACATCTACTTTCAGCTCCTTCTTTGTAAAGGTACTGTCCTGTCCTGTTTTGTCTTAGAATTACACAATCTTGACATCTAAAATAGTAGGTTTTTGCACTTAAGGCAACTCTACATGCCTATTTTGAAATAATGCATCTTATGTTATGTATATACACATAAGATCTGACATAGTCAAGGTTAGTAGATTAATAAATGTAAAAATTAAAATTATGTTTATCAACATAGACTTGATTAAACTGAATGAAAAACTGAATGCCTTTATGGAAGAAAACTAGAAATACCTATAGTTTGAAAGTGGATTTGATAAACTGTTAAATC